CACCGATTCTACCTAATCGCTCTGTGCATTTCTTCATGCCTCACTTCCACGTCATCTGTTGACAACCATGCGGTTTCTTCTAACCTGGAGCCGCAACTGTGAGTAAGGCGGGGTGCGGCAGACGATGGCTGGGCATGCGCAATACGTGCCCTAACCAGCGAAGCCGACTAATCTGAATTTGATGGGATAACAAATTCTCCATCGAATCATTACCAAATACGCGACGAATTACCTCAGAGTTGCTTACAAGCTTGCTCCATCCAATCCACGCCAAACTACGTAAACATCTGCAATCGAATACTTCCAGACGAAGAATATCTTCCATGCGCAAATTTAGGGTCTCCCAACCATAGAGCAGAACTGACCACACACTGGCGCAGTATACGCGACCTCTCAGTTTCAACGAAGCATCGCATCTACGCCAATCCTGCGTAAGCTGCTCGAGCCTTAAAAATGCGGGCGGTTGCTTCATTGACTATGCTACCGTCATTTGCAACGCAGCTGCCTAAGTAGGTGAAACATTATACCACAGCTAATTCTTGACCATCAAGCATCAGCGCTAGGGTAGACGATACCCAGTCTTGCAGCATCACTTTGCTCTTTGAAGATGCAAAGCGCATGTCGAAAGGAGATACAGAACTTGCTAGTCTGTCAAGAACACATTGCGCATCCTCCATAGATTCGAACAGGCATACGATGTCATCAGCGTGCTCTAAATCGCACGGCTTTTTGCCAGTTACCCATTCAATACCGACGTTTCGGAGACCACCAAGTACGTTCTCCATTACTTTGTCTGTGACGAAATTGAACAGGAATAGCGAAATAGGGCATCCTTGACAGACACCGCTCCTGGTTTCGAAGAATTGCAAATCTAATCTGATTCCACTGTTGGTCTACTTCACTATGTTGCGGTTCTCCTAGCTCCTGTCTCAACTTCTAATAACGTGCAACGGCAGAGGGATCGCGCAGACGATGATGAGCTAACTAAGGAGGCGATTTCTGCCGATGATCGATGAGTCGAAGAGTGAAGCGTGACATAACTTGTGCATGATCCGACTCAACGCAGGTGGTCCAATAGGATTTGCAATTTTGTATTGAACTACGCCAACCGTAGCTTACAGCTATATGGTCAACTTGGGTCAATTTTCCCGTTGAACTGGAACACCATGTAGCCGTTCGACGAGAGCTGTGTCGAAAGTTGGTGCTAGATAATAACAGCCGGTGATCCGCGCGGGTTCGACTTGAGTTGGCGTTTCAATCGGTGAAACGTGTTGGCGGAATAATTGATCCAAGTTAATGGTTCGCCAATCCGCCTTAACTGCTACCTTGCGGTTAGTTGGTGGTGGCGCAGTGGTTTAGTCTCTGTCACCGGCGTGCTGTAGACCCTATGTTCCGAGGTTCGAGCCCCACCACCGCCACCCGAATTTGGTGGTAGGCAACTCTGCTGTCCTCCGGTTCAATACCACGTCTAACCTATCGGGGCCTTATGTGATTCGCCGCTCCAAGTCCCGGGGCTCAGGTTACCGGTTTCCACCACCGAACAGCAGGTCCTCGTGACTATGGGGTTCACCCCGTCTGCTGTTTATCACAGCTAGGTGTGTAGTAGAACAAGATAAGAACAGCGGGTGATCTGCGCAGAACTGAAGTAGTCGATCACCGTTGTCTCTTCGCTGAGCTGGGAGGGCGAAGTTCCTTCCTAGACAGGCTTCGGATGCGCTCAGTTTTCCAACCTGTGCGTTAAAATCACCTGCTAGCACTATAATATCAGAGCTGCGGCTCAACCAAAGCAGTTCCGCGCGTTTGTTATAAAATTCGTCCTTTTATGAAACAGGACTCCGTACGCGGAAATGATGAACAAACACCTTTTGGTGCTGCTACCCTTCGGAACATCAACTGAACCCTGTAGCCTCATTCTGCACAAACGACTATTGACGTGTATCCAATCTGTTATAGAGACTTCAGTTTTATCGTTTAGGACGATCCCTACACCACGCTGACCCAGTGAGCGGGCTTCGTCATCTCCTGATGTGCGAAGGAAATACCTCGAGGACAGACTCTTCGCACTCAGATGGCTTGTAATACTAGGATCCTAAATTCGTGTCTCCGATACACAACAGACATCGATTTCTAGAGACTCCATTGTACGCGCAAGACACCTATCGATCCACCTGCATGAGTCCTCACGTTGAAATCCCCCAGACTGAAAGGTTGACGAGGTTTCAGGATCTGCACTTTATGTACAGAAAAACTAGTTACAGTGTTATTTGGGAGCGAGCTTTGGCGAGTGACGACCAAGTTGTCTGAGGGAATGTTACGGGTCGGAAGAAGCGGTAGAGGGATAGGGTGGGGTACGGAAGGCTAAGAATTAAACAAAGGTTGGGATATCTTGCAGTAGCCCACTACCCACCGTGCTGGATGTAATGGGCAGTGCGTTCCTGATTATCCTACGCGACGACCGATGCAGTATGAAATTATTTTCTGTTAATGTGTTTATTGGAGCTTTATGGACGGGCACTGCCAGGATGTCCAGCCACTAGCAGGCGAACGATTAGGGTTCTCAGCCAAAGCCTTAAGCTGGATTGGAGGCCCATTAACTTGGGTCAACTATTCCTCCAACACGTTTTATCGACTGAGACGCCGACTTAAGTCGAACCCCAACCTGTAAGACCAGGAGACTGGGCTTTGTCTGACCTCTACCCATTGGCCTTCCAGGCATGATTAGATCTTTGGCTCGANGACAAAAGTTATCCTGTGTAACTCGTTGGGTCATAGAGGTGCACAAACCATCACACCACGTCAAGGTGGCGGTCATTGAATAATTAGAATGCATCCGCGACCTATGTGTCCCAGAAGGTTGCCTGAAACCAGATAAGAATAGAGGTGCAGAATAAGTTACCTTAACAAACAGCCTTCATCAACTGGTTGATTTCCCGACCCGTATCCTCGACCGCGCTGATACCCTTCATCTTTTCCTNTCCTCACATCCAACCCACAATTATCTTCAAGTATTACCGCCCTTCTTCCTTACCGTTTATCTTTAAACCATTGCATCATCGTTTACTGATAATGTAGATTTTCTATCTTTCTGTTGTAGATAATGTACCTACATTGTTAGAAGATAAAAGCCTCATTTCTGGCTGTCCATTTTCTCTCGTTCATCGCTCAATGATTCGAGCTCATCGCAATTTAATCTTCATCACAGAACCATCTTGTTTCGTTCGCTACCCAAATTATTCTTTCCTCTGTTCCTCCCAATTCTAGACACATGACTTCGTCTTCAGCAGCATTTAGTTCGCCATAGTCACCTCTTCCTCCAACAACACGGTTTTGTTCCGAGTAGCTCATGCCTCTCGAATTTGCTCCTAGCCCGTGAGTGCCTGATTGAGAACAAGGCCAAATTATACGAAACGGACATAATTTTCATGGACTTCAGGTAGGCTTTCGACAGAGTGCCACACAACCGCATTCTGCAAAAGCTGTCCAGCCTTGGCGTAGGTGATATCACGCTGAAATAGCTGCAAGATTACCTTACCGGCAGGAAATTCTAATTTCGTGTTGCCACATGACATCCCGTCTCCTGTGGGGTCCCCGAAGGCTTTTTTCGTGGTTTATGCTGATTGCTTGCCCGGTCCACTGCGCAGCCCATCACTCGTGTGAGTAGATGACATCAAATCTACTGTACAATTGAGGGTTCAGAGGATCAGAGTACTCTACAAGAAGATCTGAACACTGGCTCAGTGGGTGGACACCTAGGCCCTTCCATTCAATACCGTCAAGTGAGCTTACTTGCACCTGGATCTTGCTGATTCAGAGGTAGTTTACAGCTTCCAAGGAACCACATTGCGCAAAAAATTGTGTGAATGGTAGTAATGGTGATGTCATCACTGAAGACCTGAGAGAACACCGGTAGGGTTTGGGCCAACGCGTGGAGCATTCTTGGACCCATTCGCAGATTTGTCACTCGACTCCTTAGAAAGAAAAAGACTCCGAGGTGACTTGATCGAGACATTCAAAATTATGAATGGACTATCAGGGATGGAGCAAGAGGTGTTCTTCGAGAGAATGCAAAGCAATACTAGGGGGCACATGTACAAGCTGAAGAAATTGCGCACGAGACTAGCGGT